TGTCGTGGAGGTAGACAATATGAGCCCGACAAAGGCCTTGACTGGAGTAACACCCTATGAGAAGCTTACAGGAACCAAACCTGATGTGGGGAATCTTCGGGTATGCGGCTGCGTTGCGTTTGCGCACGTCCCCAAGAAACTCAGGCACAGCAAATTGAGCGCTAAGGCAACCCCGACGTTGTTTCTTGGCTATGCGAGCACCTCGCTGGGATACAGGTTGCTGGACCTAAAGACAGGAGATCTTATCGAGCGACGGGATGTTTCATTTCGGGAAGACATCACGGTGGATAGCACTTATGTGAGCAAGATATTAGCTCGACGTTACAGAGGCGGTCATGCTGAGCTCCCAGATCGTATTCCCTACGTTCATCTGCCTGTCAATGCAGTACTGGACTCTGTACATGTTCCTGAGAGGCTTTCGGTCAGTGATGACGCTGGCAGTGCAGGCAGTGCATTGGGCAAAGGCGATGTTGCTTCAGGTAGGAAACGGCGTCGTGAAGACTCAAGTGACAGCAGTGGAGATGATGTTGATTTCAGTGGGAGTCTTGTCGCTGCAGATAATGCTGACGATAGTGGGAGCTCCGCTGGAAATTATTCTCCCGATAGTTACGGGTATCCAAGCATTTTTGGTGGAAGCTCTTCTTCAGGCCCCTCGTCAGCTTCAAGTTCTGGTGCGAACTCGGCTGTTGCATCCCCAAGCTCAGGTAGCAGCAGCGCTAGTGGCACAGCAGCAGGTTCACCGTCATTAGCGAGTCATACACCATCAGTCGCTAGACCGACGAACCACGGTCGAGTGGTGACGAGAGCCCCGCGTATACCAACTCGGCGATCAAGTCGTGTTAGACGACCACCTCCTCGATTTGATCCGTCTACATGGGTAATGGCATGCACAGTGATGCAGTGCATGCTCATCTGTGTTGTCAGTGAACTGTTGAACCCCACTACTGTTCGACAGGCCCTAGCATCTGAGCACGCAGCGGAATGGCAGGCTGCCCTGGATGTGGAGTACAACAGCTTGATGAAAAATGTGACTTGGGAACTTGTGCCTCGCCCCAAGTCTACTAAGAAGAAGCGGATTAATATCCTCACGTCTGTCTGGGTTCTTGTCGTGAAGCGAGATGAAAAGGGCGCGATACAACGGTTTAAGGCTCGACTTGCTGTACGTGGATTTCTCCAGAAATATGGTATCGACTACTTGACAACATACTCACCGGTAGTGCGGATCGAGTCTGTCCGACTTGTTCTAATCATCGCACTAATGCAAGGTCTCGACTGCAGGCACGTCGACTTCGTTACTGCATTTCTGAATGGAGAACTGGCAGATGTGGATATTTACATGGAGCAACCGCAGGGATACCATGACGGCACTGATCGTGTGTGCCATCTCCTCAAAGGACTCTATGGACTCAAACAGGCGTCCAAGATTTGGAACGACACACTACACGCTTACTTGGTGGAGCTTCAATTTACGCAATGCGTCTTCGATGCAGGTGTCTATTATCGCAAAGGTCTACACGGCATGGTCTACCTAACGGTTTATGTGGATGATATCGTGATTGCAGCAATGACCCCGGACATCGACTTAGTAATTCAGCAACTCAGTACCCAGTTTGAAGTTAAAGATTTGGGCCGCGTCAAACACCTTCTCGGTATGGAGATCAACTTTCAGCCTGGTGTTATCCTGTGTCTTTCACAGACAGCTTACGTCGAAAGAATGGCAGCTCGGTTCGGCATGGAGCTTGCAAGAACAGTTCGCTCACCGCAAATGCACAATGAACGGATGCCCTCAGTTGAGAAAGACAAGAACAAGATCAATGATGAATCCCTTCCCTACCGAGAAATAGTCGGGTCGCTGCAGTATGTGGTGGCTTGCACACGTCCAGATATGGCTAATACAGTTCGCTGCCTCGGCAAATACAACGGAGCCTACACCCGCGAGAATTTCACTATGGCAAAACGCGCTATTCGGTATCTTGTCGGCACGAAGAGTCTGGGTTTGGTGTATCGACCGGTTGATGCAATGGCGATACTCAATGGATTTGCGGATGCTGACCACGCGATGTGCGCAGACACTAGTCGCTCCAATACCGGCTTCGTGCTGCAGCTTAGTGGTTGTGCGTGGATGTGGAAGAGTAAGCAGCAAGGAAGAGTGACAACTAATACTTGCGCTTCGGAGCTTGTTGCGGCGTGCGACTGTGTCGACAACCTCGTTTGGGCAAGACAGCTTTTGAAGGAGCTGCTGGTGGACCTCGATGTATCAACCGTGTACTGTGATAATCAGAGTGCCCTTCAAGTAATCGCGAACCGTGGCAACAGCAAGAAAGTACAGCGATTTGCCAAGGAAGCTCGCATGGTTGCCGAGTTCGTTGATGAAGGTGTGGTGCAATTGGAGTATGTATCAACTGCTGAAAACCTGGCCGACATCTTCACTAAAGCGCTGGGCCCGCAGCGTTTCGAATACCTGCGTGATAAGTTGAGTTTGGAGAACGTCATGACTGCATGGAACAACGTGCAGCTCCATAGTGAGTATCAGTGATTTGCGTGGATAATCGCAGGATTGCCGATTTTGATTTGCATGGGCGATTTGGAGTTCCGATCAACCATGGACATGGGATGCAGCAAGTGGTGAAGCTTGTGGTACTGTACTGTCTCATTGCGTGTGCGTCGTGAAAGCAATTGTATTTTGCGGAGACGACCATGGACGTGTATGTGCTGTGTGAGTTGTGTCTTTGATAAGCTACTGTGGTGAAAGCTGGGAGGCGGTAACACTTCATGGTGGCAAGCGCGGTAACATATTTGCTTCGGGACTGGGTTGTCCTGAAGAATATGGCGTGAGCTTTTGAAGTGGTCTCTGGTATCCTTTTGCGGTGACATGGTAGTGAGAAGACTGGTATCGCTCTACAAGGCAGACACTGGAGTGAGGATTTACACCTCCTTTGCAGCAGAGCAGCGTGAAGTGGGAGTATGAGAATCTCTCTCGTTGGTGTCAACCACACCACCTGATTCTGGCGGTCACTTTGCTCTGCGGGGATGAGGCCTGTGTTAGGCTGTGTTTTTGGCTGGACATCTACTGTTGGTCGCCTACATGCACTCTGTGGAATGTTGAAGGAATCCACAACACCCAGTTTGGATGGCTATCCAAACTGGAGCCACTTCCAGGAACGTGCAGTGTGGCCAGTAGAGTAAGTTCACGGGGGTTTTGTAGCCATAGGCTTTCCTCCTTTTCACAGACACAGAAGCTCGAAGGAGCTTAACATGAATCACTTTGCAATTTACTTGCTACAACTCAAACACTCGTCTTCTGCTATTCAGCTCTCGACTCGCTCAAACTCTAAGTGCTCAAGAGCGCTGGCCCTTCCTACACTCAACACGCTCTTAGATCGTATTCGTGCAGTAACGTGGAAGGCGAGCGCCGATGAACAAGCAGGTGGTCGGCCAGCAAAGAGACCACGCACCTAACTTGATCCTACGAGACTTTGGCGTTTTACGTAGCGGGATGATTGAATGAAGCTTGAACCAGAGGATGGCAAAGACCAATTTAAGATGATCGCAAAGAAGCAGAAATGGATCGAGGATTCACAAAATTATCTGGCTCAACACTAGAAATATGCGTAATATCTACTAGGAATGAAGATGATGAGAAGTGAAACTCCAAAAAAAAAATGTTTTGATCGAGCTGGCGGATAGTCACGCTAGCCGACATGCATTAATCCCAAAGCTAACAAATAGGGCCACAAACATGAACAAAAAGAGACTTAGTGCTTTGGATTGGATGCTTGACTTGGATGACTTAATATTTTGAAACATAGGCATTTGGGTTATACATTTTCCGTATCCGATGACTGCAGGCCCTTTTGCTATCAACAGCGCGCTATTTAAGCAATTATTACAATGTTTGGTACAGTGGCCTTCTATTTTGATTTTATGGCTTTAATTACTGCAAGTATGCAATCCTTTTTTCGATCTGGTGTCGAAGTCGAAGGTATAAAATACCTTATGCTGTCGTTTCAGATTAGTCAGGAATCGGGGATGGTTCAGTGCTGTCCAAACCACTTCGTTGTGAAAAAGATGATCAATGGCAGCCTGAACAACGTATCGATTGGCTTAGATGTCTGGATATTCGACGTGGAGAAAGGGATCCCAAGTATTCAAGACTCACTTGGCGTCCTAAATGCACTGGGATATTGCTGCCGTTAGCTTGGCCGCAAGACTCTTTATCTGTAACATTGATAAACGCGTCTAGAGTATATTTTTCGATGCGCCTTGTAAGATCGCAACTTTCTGTCTCCTTTTCCTGGATTTACCACTACTGTCGATTTCAACCAAAACTACTTTGAAAATATACCCGAGATTTTTTTTACCGAGATTTCAAGGATGACAAGTGGCTTGTTGGTGGCGAAGGAAGACCGGATGGTGTTCCTAATCTGGTCGGAGCTGCGTGCACCAAGATAAGTGAAATGTTGGCCTCGGTTGATGAGGAAGCTGGGGAATATTCATTCTGTGGCGCAGCGGATACTCTCCCAGTCGTGTCTGGAAAATTTACCAACGCAGAGGGAAACACCAATCTCCAACTTGCACCAGAATATGCTGAAACGTTGATCGCGAAAGTGAAAGATCTCCTTTCGGTCACTACATGAACACGAGAAGGGACGATAGTGTCCGGGAGAGTTAGCAGCTACAGGCAGATTAGGTGGAGATAAGATACCCAATGTGACAAGGGTAACGGAGAAAGTGACGGAGACTATCGCTACTCGTTTGGGTTGCCAGGGTGTTCCCCTGAAATGTTGTTGTACACATTGCTCGTGTACGGCTTCAAAAATGCCACGAGAACATGAGCAACATGCTCTTTTATTCGGACTTTGTCCGACGTTGTATTCTAGCTAACTATTAGATTAGATTTGAAGTTCTGGCCGTCAACCATCTAATGGCAAAAAGCGTAACCACTGAATCAATGAGTCACGTCCGACATAGGCAAAATATACTCCTTTAATGAATTGCATAGCTCGTTTCAAGTAAGTAAATACGCCACGAAAAACGTTATTGTTTTTTTTTAACATTAAAATGACGAATTCCCTTGTCAAACTCGTCATACATCAGTAACTTTCGTGCAGACGAAACAACTCTGCTTTGAATTTAGCCAGCTTCCTCTGGGCGTCCTCGAACCACTCCCGCGTTTTTGTGATCGCCACAAAAGGAATCCTGTCTTCGCCAACTTCGGTCCTAAATGAACATTCTTTCAGATCCTCGAGAATTGTCTTCGCATACCTTTTCGCTTCATATAACCCAATAAACTCCCTTAGCTCGCCGCCATACATTATTATCCCTTTAACCGTCGTAGATTCTTCCGGACCTCGTAGAAATGGCTCAATTTCTTTTTGGTCTTCTCCCTCGGCGTAGGGCATTCTCCACGAAAAAACCTTATCAACCTTATCCAGTCTCTGAATCTCTCCCTTCAACCATTCCATTCGCTTTCCAGCGATCATTTGAAGCGCTTTAAACTGCTCACTTGATCGATCGTAGTCGCTAGTATAGTGCAAACACACCTCCACAAATGGTCCAAGCTCACGTGGATCCCTCTTTTGAATTTTGGTTGTCACCATTTCAAAATTTTGGTCGTCACCGGATCGAACGACTTGCCACAAGACTTCAACCGCTTCACTAAATCTTATGGCATACTCGGCTTTTGCCATAGCCGCGGTGATCGTAGCTGTCTTGGCAAATCCGCCATCCAAGTGGCTGGCCACAAGCAGCAGCAGTTCCGTATCCGAAACACCCTTCGTATCGTATCTGTGTTGTTGGAACAAGGCTAGCAATGTATCGCCAATGTCATCCCACGCAAAAGTACGCACAATGTTGGCTATGACGGGGACTAGTGTTGTGTTCTCTGCCAAACCACCCAGGTTTGGACAAAAATTGGTAATAAACATCTTTGCCAGCTCCACATCTTTAGTATCCACCAGTAGCTCGAAGAAAGAGCGACAGAATCGGAGTGAAGCCTTCGGCATATATCCAAGCGCATTCACTTTTCCCCACCTATCCTTGGTGGTGGTAATGGTGAGAAGATCGCGAAGACATACAGCTCCAACAGGTCTCTGTCGAAGTAACTCTTCCACTGCGATCTCCGCAGACACAAATATCGTCATATACATCAGATGCTGATTAGCAGGCCACGCAACAATCGCAAATCTCGAGTATTTCGTACGTTTGACTGGTCCATCATTACCAGTGTAGGCGTCTTCAGAATCTCCATAAGATTTCCACATTTGGAGCAGCGATTCACGTCCAGGATTCAAAAAGTTGAATTTCAAGGAAGATTCGATATGTCCCAAGCTTTCCCCTGTTGTGTTGTACCAATGAAGGGCTTCCTGGTAGCCACAGCGGTCCCAACCATACTCATCAAGCCAGGCATCGACCTTGACCACGAGCTTTGCAATGAAGAACCGAAGTTTCTTATCACTTAACACGAAATTGTTCGCTTCTTCAAGCATACGAAATCGCGCACAATCGATTCCTTTCAGAGCTGCAGTACCCATCTCCCCAATACTCTTCTTAGTATACTCGTGCGATAGCAATAGAGCAAAATGTTCATTTTCTGGTCCCATACTATTGATCACATTGGCGAGCTTATCCGTCATCGTCACATTTGGGTCTCGTTTCACGTGGCTCAACGACTTCGGAAGACAAATCGAATACACCAACACAAGACGATAGCCTATCGTCACTTCCTCCAGAGCATGTTCAGCATCCGAATAGTGCACGGCGTAGTGTGGGAAATAGGCTGCAGTACCGTCAGCTTTGCCGAAATCGTGGCGGTGCTCCACTTGTCCGTTTCGATACACGATCAAGTCTCCTCCTTCGTGAGTACTCGGAGGTTGAACAACCAGCGTCGCAATCATGCCGTCTTCTTTCTCCGTATCTTGATGTTTCAGGAAGTGGCCTCCCTCTCCGTACACGAGCAGCTTGTAGAGAACACCGCGCAATGCAACACCCTTGTAACCCAAACACGTAGCGATCGTCTTCGTCAATTTGTCCAACCCTTCTTGCCATAATGGGTTTCTGAACTCCACTTGATCAGGCTGCAGTTGCCAACTCTTCCGGACGTTCTCATCCATCTTCGTGTCCATGTTGTGTCCGAAAGGAGACTTTTCACATCTCGAAATCAACTTCTCTGCGTGGTCTGGAGCAAGTGGGAACGGAATTATCCCAACGTCGTTGACAAATAGTCCAGAGATGACTGGGAGAGTATGAGCTAGACCACCGAACGAATACTCTCCTGCATGTTCGTCAGCTGAGGCCAGAATTTCACTAATCTTGACACAAGCTGCTCCTGTCGGAGAGGGTACAACATCCGGCCCTCCTTGTCCACCAAAAGGCCACTTGCCATCCTTGAAATCTCGTCTGAAAGACATTTTGGAATTTTAACCCAAGAAAGCGTCGTTATGCTTACGAAGAAAAAGTAGAAGTGGCGTTAGAAAGATGGAAAATCTGGAAACAAACGTGAAAATTGAGTCATTTTGTGTATGTTAGGTATTATTATTGCTTCCAATTCACCATTAAACTTCAATCGAGTGCTCAGAAGCGTAGTTTCTAGAAGGCGTAAAGTTGGCGTAGGCGTCCCACTGATAAATTCATCACAACTGGACAACGCTGAGTGTCACACTCAAATCGATTTTTTAATTACATCCTCAATGCAGCCGCAGAATTCGTCTCCTGGTTAGTTGATGATATTCCTGGGATAAGTGCTGCAGAGCAGCTTGCAGGCGATTAATTCGTTATTCTTCGATTTTTGTCTTGAAATTTTGTATTCATAAACGTCCGTCACGCTTTCACGTCCTTTCACGTCCTTCATTTTTGTACCTCCACTCTTGCGCAGCGCTAGTCAATTTTCTCATGCGTTTCTAGGATATTATACTATGGTCTCTTTCACTCAATATTACTTTGTACCTTAGCTCCCCAGCATGAATCCGTACATGAAGTTAAGCAAAAAACAAATCTATATTAGTGGTTGACTTGCAATTATAAGCTGGTTTCGTAGCCTCGTTTCGTTAGTCACTCAGCTCGCATAACGAAACGTAAAATTATCTTATCTGTAATGAACAATCACGTGGATGTTGAAAACTACGTAGTATTATAGCAAAATTGTTTTGCTAACATGATAATCCAGGTACCTATGTGCAGCACCCAGAACAGATGCGGGCATTAATGGGTCGTTCGGTAGAATGAACCTCGAGAGAGCGAGAACCCCAGTATTTCAAGCAAGACTGGCAAAGGAGTAGCATCAGCACGTGAGTTTCACACATGATCGTTCGACATGTAGTTTCTATAAGGCATCGAGTTGCCGTAGGTGCCACCCATTTGGCCATACCCGCTGACTGGTTCATTTGAGTAGCTTGGGTAATTTCTCTCTCCTCCAGACCGGCCATACTCTTCAGAACCCTGATAACGCTGCGAATCCGAGCCACGGGGGTAGCTTCTATCGTCAAAGTTTCTTTCGCCACCAGACGGATAGTACTCTGCAGGATTTTGATACTGTCCACTGGCATAGTTTCCACCTTGGTAGTTCCTGTCGTCATAGCTCAGCGCTTCTCTCTCGATCTGGTAATACGAACTACTGTTTTCAACTCCAGGCGTGTTAAGTGGCGGCGATTGGGTGTAACTCGGTCGCGTTTCAGAGCTATCGACAGCGCCGCGTCGACTCCAATACTCCTGATAAGTCTCGTACTTGCTTGAGCTACTGGGGTTCTCGCTCTCGAGGTTCATTCTACCGAACGACCCATTAATGTTCGCTTCGGTACTGGGTGGAATGCCTTGCTGCACAACAACTGGTGGGTTTTGCGATCCTTTCAGTCGCTCCTTCTCGCTGTCCGAACTGGAACTGGAGCTACTAGAGCTCGATCGGGATCTCGACTCAGCGGGCTTGCTAACCGGGTTTTCTTTCGGCTTTTCGCCTTGTTTCGCGAGGAAATCCTCGGCCGCCTCCTTCGCTTTGTCGATTATGGACTTGTCCTTCTTCTCCACGTATCCAGGCTGGTGTTTCTCCTCCTCTCTCTTGGCCACCTGCTTCTGGGCATACTCGACCGCCTTCTCCTTCACCTGGTACTTCTCAACGGCACCCATGGCCTTGGTGAAGATCGAGTCGCTGTCCTTCTTGTCGTCCTTCTTGCTCGAGTCACTGCCACCCGATAAGGCCTCCTTTGCCTTGTTGAAGAAATCCATCGTCGGTCCTACGTGGCAAAAAGTGAAATGGCAAATCCATGATGTCTCATGTGGCACGGCCAGGACATCGTGGGTGAATTTCCTGATGGATGGCACAAAATGCACAACGGATTATTCGGAATATTCCATCAACAACAGCTAAAAATCAAGTTACGAATGAAATTTACGATGAAATTTATCGGAAACGATTCAGTAGTTTTCATAGTTGTGGGTCCTAGTCGAGGTGACCACTTCTCTCGAGTAGGTCACGCGATTCTGCGTCATGTCCATGCTGCTTTCATTATACCCACCGCTTGGTCCAGTGGCTGGGTAGTTTCTGCCGTCGTAGCAGGCATCATCATCACCTGATCGGCGCGAATACTCTCTTGACGAGCTGTAGCTGTAGCTGTCGCTGTCGCTGTCGCTCTCGCCCGAATACGTCGAGGTGTCATAGCGACTCGCAGTATCCCGGTTGGAGTTGTCGAAACGAGTCGAGTAGGAGGACGATCCGTACGTGTTGTTCTCGATAAAGCGATCGGGATCATTTCGCGCGTATCGTGGATACTCGTCCGTATCACGGTCGGACCGTTCGAAACGGGATGAGCTTTCCAGGGACAGATTATTGAACGCTTCACAGCTAGCGTCATCTTGTCCGTCCATGCCGCGATAGCTCGAAATGCTCTCTTGTCTCGAGTTAAATTCGAGACTCGTACCCGTTCTACTGGGGTAGCTAACATCTTCTTCGACACGGGACGAGTAGGAGGAAGATCCAGCAGTATTGTTGCAGAAAGCGGAGGTATTATTCCTCTCATAGCTTGAATACCCCTCAAGTTGAGAATCGGTATTGGTATTGTTGTCATTCCGATCGTACGGCGAGCGATACACCGAGCTTGTGGTGTAACTATCAATCTCCTCGACGTGCGAATAGCTCGGATCGATGTTCGAGTTCGAGTCGTAGGAGTTGACCGCCGTAAGTGTTTCATGCGGGTAAGAGGACGACACCTCAACGGTGCGTCGTTCATATACGGCAGAACCATCGCGCGATTCCTCAGTGTAACGATCTTCGACGTAGTCGTTGCCGTTGTTCACGATAGGATACCTTGGTTTGTTGTAATCACTCGAGTCGCCCGCGCTAATAACACTTGTGGTAGTCTCGACGATCACAGTCGATCGGCTACTTGCTTTTTCACTCTCGTCATCCGAACTCGAGCTGGAACTCGAGCTGGAGCTTGAACTAGAGCTTGAGCTGGATCTGGATCTGGACCGAGGAGACCCCTGTTCGGCGATGAAGTCCTCTGCAGCTTCCACGGCTTTCCTCACGATTGACTTGTGCTTCGGGACGTATCCAGGTTGGTCCTCTTCCTCTTCACGTCTGGCGACTTGATCTTGAGCAAACTCAATAGCTTTATCGCTAAAGCTCTCGGCGGTATCCATCATCTTAGTTAAGAGCGGCATATTCTACGAAGTTGTATGAGTGAAAAGACTTTGGGGCGGTTGGCTGCAAGAAAACAAATGACCAAAGGAATCGCTGAGTGGGGCGCTCGAGGCACTGGTGAGTGAGGTCGTGTGTCTCGTGCACCACGCACGCGCGTGGGTAAACTCTAGATGTGCTGAACGGGGGAAGTGACGAGTGTACGACACGATATCAGGTCTAACAACTGATGCAGTATATGTATCATGCCCGCTCGGACAGTGCAAACGCTCCTGGGTGTGCTTGTATCGCGACGGACCTTATGACTACTGCTTTTAAGAAGAATGAAGAGGTAGTGACACATGTACTAATTCGCATGTGTCTTGAAAACAAGATAAATATTGAGGCGGGAGGTTGACTGAGGCAAGTGAACCGCAGCATTGTCACAGTTGTGACCAGGTTGTCACCGCCAACTTGTCACAAGTGTAGGGAAAAGACTTTAAAAAAAATTGTAGAATCGGAACATGGAATCGGTAACTTACATACGTCACTTATTCATGTTTTTATATGACCACACTTCAACTTCATGTTGAGCACTGTGAGCGAATATATGTTAGTTACCAGAAAAAATAGTTTTTTTACATGTACAAAAACTCTGGATAAAAATATAAAAAAAAACATGAATAAATGACGTATGTACTGTAAGTTACCGATTCCATGTTCCGATTCTACAATTTTTTTAAAGTCTTTTCCTTACAATTTCTTTTTAACACAGCACATCCTGCGCAACCAGGCGGGATTCCGGGGGTGTGCACAATGTCATCAGATTGTTGCATTTTGTCAATTTTTATTGGCCAATCGCCAAAAATGGAACAGAAAGAAGCCATTTCACGCGTTTAAGTACGAATTAACCACTCTTAAGTACGAAAAAGCGTTTTTATTACTGGCCCTAACTCGAAAACTACGAGTGTTCATAGCCCTACACATTGTGCTCTTCTGGCGTTTTGTCGACGTGTTCCCTGAGTTCCGCCGGTACTTGAGAAACGAAATCGGTCTTTGTAAAGCCAGGCATCTCATCTATAAAATATACCCAAACCCTTACGTATCTATCCAATCAATGATCACCTGGTCGTGCGCTGATTCGACTCCATTCAGTTTCGATTGAATCAGTGAGGCGAGGACGGCGGCGAGGACTGATCGGCAACGACGGCGGTGAGGACGGCAACTGCTGTCTTATCTGCAGCTGCCTCTCTGGCTGCCACCTCCCTTAAATACATGTGTAGCTCAACGGAAGAGCCCCGTTAACGGATGGTAGAGGTCCAATTCCTCTCACAGGCAAACTCCTTGGTTGCCGCTAGATATAGGGATATACAGTGCGGTAATGGCGGATGACAATGCCTGTTGTAAGAAGCCGGTGATCAAGTAGTACCCGTGGCATAGGTGGACGCAGCTGCATTGCGTCCCGAAATCAACGATGAGTGCAGCTAGCGAAAGGTAAGTTCATATTTGAATTTTCGATGGAGATAACAATACCCTTGCCGAATACTCTAAATTGTCGTTTGTTCATTAAGAATGGCAACCCTTACGCATCTTGTCGTAACAAAGTGCCTCCTTCTCCAACATTTGTCTTTAATGTAGCAGAAGGCTATCGGGTTCTTCGCGCAAAAGTCGAAGAGCATTTCGACAACAAGATCCCTGGCCAGTGGTGCGCTAATAACGAAATTTACTTCAAGCCGACCAACAACGCGTATCAGAAGGACTTTCAGGTGCTTTGCAGTGACAGTAGTGCTTTGCAAGTCCAGCTGGCACAAGGCAAGACTGCGTAACGGTGGACAAGCGGGCTTCGTCTTAGAGCTGTATGTATACGTGCCAAAGCCAGTTGAGGCTACAACAGCACTTCGTAGGGCGACGGCTGCGCGTATTCGAGAACAAATGCCCCGCGTTGCTAAAATGTTGTGGGAGCAAGGGATAACTGCAGGTCCAGCTACCCAGAACTACATGGCGGTCACGCAGGCAAGGCTTCCACTGGTAGTGCCTAACAACACGACGTTTCAGCAGCTCCAGCACGTGGACACACAACAGGCAGCAATTGACTCTGCAATGCAAGAAGGCCAACAGCTAGCGACTACAGAGTACCATCTTGTGCGCGTCAAGATACAAGGCGTCCCAGTCGCAATGGAAGTGAACATCAGCGATATCCGATCTGCACTAGGGCTCCCTGACTACAGTTTGCGCCCACCATTTAGAGAGCCCCCAGCCGTTTCCACACCTGCTCCTGCTGGCAACATGGATGACAGTGATTATTTGGATAGCTAACGGCAACGCTGACAACGTAAAAACAATGACAGCTACTTCTCTTTTATATTCAATGCATTACGTCTATAACCACAGTGGCTGTACAGATTCTCACCGACTTCTTCCTTTGACGTACATTGCAACTCGTAGTACGGCTAATCGGTCCTCCCGAAATGCCATATTCACGTGGCGTTAAATCTAACGCTTCAACAAGGAGAATCCAACTTCAATTAGATTAACGTCGGGTGAGTAGGGAGGCAGGAAAAAGAGTAGAGCACCGGTCTCGTGGATCATTTCTTGAAGTTCCTTGTACATTTGAATTTTTGCATTGTCCATCACTACAATGAACCGTGGTAGTGGCCACCGATTGAGGAAGAGAAGTATCGTGGTTTTGAAAACTTCGTGAAAGCTTGAACGCGTAAAGGTTCTTCCACATCACCCCACGAAACAAAAACTTGCACGTCCATTGCCACCAGAATCGATACGCGTTTGCTGGAAGCGTTACATGTGCCGGTGTATATCTTGCAGACCAACCATAATGACGTAGAGCAGATCTAAAGCAGATAAAAAAAATAACTCTAAAATAACTCTGAAGAATAAAACAACTTAACAGTTGCAGCTTGCAAACTTACCTTCTGTCCTTTGATGTTTCGTCGACGAAGACGAGTTGATCAGGGTCGCTGTAGAAAGGATTAAGACGGCTAACATAATCTCGCCTTTCGCGTGGAACACTCTCTCTCGCGCGCGCTTTGTTAGAACTTTTCTTGTCAATTTGAGGTCGAATCGAAGGGCTCTGCAGATTGTCGCGTCGGATACGCCAATTGAGTCCCGGTAGCGCTTGCGTAATTCGTAGCGTAGCTCTTCAAAGTAGAAGCACGGATGCGCATTCACGTACGTTTGTACGAACGCACACACATCACGAGGCCACCTAGACGATTTCGCCTTGGTGTTTGCTTTAAGAACATTGCCTGTCGTTCGTAAATGTTTATACCATCGATCGAGGCTACGATGCGAGAGACCTAGAACACTTGCAACCGTAGTGGTATCGATCGAGTAAACGTACATGAGAACTATACCTCCTAAGCGAATATCTAGTGAGTAGGTCATCTTAAACTCCGACGTCGTGGTAAATCTCCGAATGCCCAACAATTTCCAGCCATTCGGACAATCGCTCGTTGACTGGTAGTTTTTCTGTGCGATCAAAGCCTGTCGTCGGGGTTGTTCTATTCTCTCTGTGATTGGCCAGATTGTGGCCGTGTTGATAATATTTAGGTCAATTTGCAGTCTTGAAGATATAGTACAACACTCGGAACCTAACCGTTCTCATTAAAATGGCACTTTTTCAAGTCTGATTCGCCAAAAGCCTTGAAAGGCACAATACCACCACTATTCTTAGCATATTGTCATGTATATGTTTGCAGCGCTGCTAAAACATACTCATAATGGGAGTCACTCGGACGCCTGGGCGCGTGCCCAACACTGAACGTACGGCCCTCCTTGGAGTGTTCGCTGTGCCTTATAGAATTATTGGGTGAATCGGCGGCTTAGGGGCAGCACATACGGGACCATTTGCTCCCCAAAGTCCGGTGGCGACACCGATTTACGCTGGATTATGGGGCTATCGCTCAACATGCCCTCCTCCTACGCGGCATCACCGACTCACTAATCCTGTGATCTAGCAGCAGCCTATCACACCGATGCTACTTCGACGATTTTACGGTCCGGTTGACATTCGCTAGCCCAAGCATCAGTTACTGTGGGGAGGCTTACTGCTGGCTTAGTTTGTCTTGCTGAGACAGAGTATTTGTACATCAGGAGCAAGTATCACAAGTTTGTACTGTAGCTTGGTGGCATACGACTAGTGGAGCAAGAGTGTGATCCCGTTCGGCCCCAACATGCAAACGTAGTCGGCATTCTACTCAGAAGAGCGAAAAATAATCAGTTTGGTAGAGAAGAATATCGATTTCAACACATCACTTTGGATTCGGTTCTCTGCCCGGTTCGGGATGCGCAATGGATTAAGAAGAGGTAAAAGAAACCAGGCACGCGGGCTGACGAGCCTACTCTCAAGCTGCAGCATTCAAGGTTGCTGTCAGCACATCTCAGCCGTTTGGATCCGACCGCAGCGGATGGTGATTTAGCATCAACGTGCGCATATGTCTCACGATAATGACATCACGCATTGAGGCGACTTCGGTAATTACGCGTTCTATCTTGAATAAGACGTGGGTGGGTGGGGGTGGGGGGTCGCAACGAGAGCCTTCAGAGCATGCCTTGCTACAGTAGTGCTTGCACAAGCACATTTTGCAGCCTCCTTTGGCGGGGATGAGCTCATCCAGTTCAACAAACGTGGTTGCGCTCAGGGCCATACGACCTGCCCGGACGATTCATCCTTCTTGGTCTCGTTAATCTTGGGCTTGACCTTATCTTTGCAAAGTGAAGCTATAGGGCAGGCGTTGTGGTTTGAATTTATAACGTTTGACGTCAATTCCTTAAACCGCTCCATGCTAGACTTTATACATGACGATAACCTGGAAAAATAGTTGAAGCCATTGCTAGAGGCAAGCTACTTGGCGTATTTGATTTAAAAAAAAATTGTTTGAAATCCAGCCCCGCCAGAAGTGTAAAAGATCCGTTTGTCAACACTTGGGGGGGGGGGGGGGGTAATCATCAAACGTGGCAAATTGACGACCAAATGATTTTTATTGTATAATACAATCAGGTCTATAGCGCTCGTTCACGAAAGGGTTAACATGTACTGTGCATTTTAGTTAATTTTGCAAAACGGAGCTGGCTTACAATGACTTTTGCGAAATGCTTGGAACGGAATGGATGTCAGATAGTGGGCCACCTTGGAAGTGCTAAACGGCACTACATCTCCATTTGCCGGTGCAGATTTGTTCGCGGTATGACTTGACAATCAGCAAGGTTCCTATAGTCGGAATGTCTGTGTGACCGATTTAGCCTATTTGCACTTGCTGGTGGTTGTAGATAAGAACTATACGCGATTCCAACACTATTTGCCGTAACATCGAGGTTGTTATGAGCAGTATCTCTTTGCGCTTGTTGGAGAATCCATCGTCTGCGGGAGACTTTTCTTGCACGATGTTACTGACTTCGATTATTCTTAACCTCTATTTCGTTTTTGGCACCCCGGGACATAGAGCGCCTTATCTCTTCGCATCTTCTATAATGTATAAACACATCACGGATTTTGCGTTAAAAACGACATAACTGGTAAATCACGCAGAACCGAGGTTTTACACACAGAAAATGCGACAACACATACAATGTGGGTGATACACATCAATGTCACAGTACACCACACAATATATACGTGTGGCACAATTGCATTGGCCAAAACATATCAAACTCGTGTGTCTACACACCACTTAATATTAGCGAATCACAACCTTTACTTTGACAGTTGCTGAACCAATCACAGTCGTTTATATCCTAGCAAGAATCTTTTTTCATACAGAAAAAGCACTGAAATCTGAACTCCCATCCCCCTCGTCTCCCACCTCGAAGATGCCCATGACGACCAAGTGGACGACTGTCTGTAGCGACATGGCTCGAGAGGACTCCCAACTGCTCATGGAAGACATAAAGGTGTTCATCATCGTCAAGAGTCAGCTGGTTCCATGCGTGTGTGCGCTGACCAAGCCACACAAGATGCGGTACCAACTGTTAAGATGTTCCTCGGAAACATGCAAGGCAGCAGCACCGTATAACGCGTGCCTATGGAAGGGGAAGGTTTTCACGTGTCAAGGACTTAGCCGCGTGACGATAATGGAGGCTGGTGCTCATGAGACGCTGGTAAAGGAGCCCCAAAAGGTCAAGTTGACTCCACGGCTGAAGGATTACGGTCGTGAAATGGTGACGCAAGGCCTCAAACCCTCTCGAATTCACAATGGACTTACTGAGTCGGAGTTGCCGACGCTGCGTCAGGTGCAATGGTTCGTCAGCAGCTATTCGAAGAAGAACCTCCACCGCAATGACGACTATGCCGAAATCCTGAGCCAAATCGATCAGCTGGCGTATGGTCCGACCGTCTCGGACACGAACCCATTTTCGTTTGGTTGGAAACGTGACGACCGCGGCAAACCAGATGGGGGGGCGGCTCTGACGAAAAACCATTTTAGTTGGGCTGACAACTAAACGTCTTTTACTGAATGCGGCTCGCGACCCGGAGTCGTTCGTTTTCCGCATGGATGTCACCTTCAAGTTGAATCAAGTCGGGTATCCTGTCATCGTGCGTGGGATCTCTGACAAATGTCGCTCATTTCACCTCATGGCACTTTCCATTACGTCGCAACGCTTGGAGGACATTTACGTGACGGTGCTGACTGAACTGCACAGGGTTTTTGCTTCAGTGTTGAGTGGCATCAACTGGTGGTCAAGTCCGTCATGGCCGATGCTGAAGCTGCTCAACAGAACGCAGTGGTACGCGTCTTTGGTGCGGATTGCGAATTCGTGTACTTGATGTGCTTCTATCACCTGCTGGCCAAAGTTCGCTAAAAACTGAAGAGTGTACCTGATCGATTACGTGACCAGGTGATGGCGGACGTTTACGACCTGCGTTTTGCGGCTAGCCAAGATGTCTATGACGAACAAGTGAAAACGATTCTAACGAGTTGATCGGACGAAGAGCAGATGGTATGGTTCCGAGGCTATTTCGAACGCACGTTTAACCGTTTGATCAAGCGTGACTACACACTGCGGACCAAACATAAGATCGGGACGCTGATCCAGTTGCTGGCAGATTGTTGCGCACATCAGTCAGTGACTCCAAGAATCTTCAAGGAATCCCCTGAGTCCCCTGAGGCCACCCAGCAGTTAAATGCAAGGCTTAAGGATTTTCGCCGCCGCGATCTTCTTGTGGACATGACTCCGATCCGATCCAGTATCGAGTTCCTACTTGTTTTCCCCAACCCAGACGTGGTTACGTGGCTGCGAGCGTGTTTACCTCCCGGAGCTCAGGCGCAGTCGTGAGGTGGGTCCAGTATCGGCGCAGATGGGAGTTAATTACGTGCAAATGGAAGTGGCTGGGCAGCCTGAGGGTGGCTGGAACGTGGATTTGAGTACGAATTCATGTGGATGCAAGTACTACTTCAAGTTTGCTGTCTGCATTCATGTGCTTTTTGCTCTGCAGAAAAGAGCTACACAGGCTTGGACGGTAAACGGACTCTAGTTAATCGATCTGTGTCCAGGAAACGTCGCCGCTCTAGTACTACCAGTGCCCGAGTTCCTGCTGGTCGCCCATTGGCAAATCGACATGCATTAAATATGGAATGAAAACCGGTAGCTACATGTACAGTCGTTTCTTGCTAAAGAAAGAAAATCGAATTTCCTGTCTATTTTTCTCTGATTAATAATAAATTCACGTTCAACTTCAATTTTATCTGTGCTCAATTTGCTTTTCATTCTTCTTATCACTTCCACCATGGCAAGCCGCCCCAGCACCGACACTGCCCTACCTACTGCCTTCCCAGCCTTCTTTAAGTGGTGCCAAGCACACCTTCGCGCCCGCGGTTGGGGGCGCCACGATGAAGCTGCGGCTCGTTACCTGAGAACATGGGTTCATGTTCAACAAGGTAATGCCTCAACCGCAGAGGCAATCAAGCGGCTGCTGGATGCTGTGCCCAAATCTCGCATCACTAAGTCCCGCCTCATTGAGGCAGCTGCTTTGGGGGACGACGCTGGTGAGGCGGGATGGGTCCTACCACTGGTACCGACCTGCGGGGGCTACCTACGTATCAAATGCGGACCATCCTGGCGGATCGTCGAATCAATGGTCGCGTTCAATTCCTAACCTCCTGGGAGCCGGCGGTGAACCTCCATTCAAACAAAATACGCATGTACAGAAGACGCCAACGGCACCGAGTGGAGCGCGCCTATGTGGAAGCTGAAGCTACACAAGAATAAACAAGTATCAACAGGCTCAAGAAAGCATTTATTTTTTTCATAAGTAATAAAAACGCTTGTTCCTGTTGCACCTCTTGTCGTTCGTCTAAGCTTCAACCGTTGAACCGCACAGCAACAGATGACCGTTGGAGAGGCGTCACAGTCCTAACCACTCAAGACCCGAGCCACCTTCCGGTCTTCTCGGGCCGTGTTGGTGATGTATGCGAACGCCTTACTCGTCTTCGTCGTGTCCCACGTTCCGCGATCAAAGATCCACTGTGCAGCGAGGTGGTCGTCGCCGTTTGCGTGCTGGGCCCCACCGCGGCGAAAGGAGCGCGACATGAGCTCGGCGGTGACACCTGCAGGCTCAGCCACGTCCTGTTTACGTGGCAGTACATGGTGTTTTCTCCTCGCCTCGTGGCCTCGTCCTGCTTCTCCCTCTTGGCTGGCGCGGTGGCTGCCGTGCTCGTTTCAGTAGCTTGTGTGCATACCGTTGCCGCCGGATCAGTAGCTGGGGTTGGTAGCGAAGCAGTCGGGGCGACAGCAACTTCCAGAGCTTGGGGTTCGCCTACCAGCAAGTCGTGCAGTGGGCGCCCTTATTCAATAGGGTCTTCGATTCTTGGAGTCATCTCTTGCTGCATCGTCTGCGCCACCACCAGAGAGAAGGGGATAGGCCAAGAAGTCACCATTTGTCCGGAAAGAGCGTCGGTCCCTGCTCTTAGGCAGTCTTCGCCCGCAGCAACTTCAGGTAGAATACCCCCGTCAGCTGATACTGACACGAGTTGTTCCATCACGTAGGCCGGATCGGAAGATCTCCCAAAGCAATGCCACATCAAGCAGGTCAGGGTGACGTCTTGGTAGTCGAAATTCACACGTGCTGTACTACACACGTAGCGTATTGAACTACGTAACTCACCTTTTGTACAGAGTGGGGCCATATTGGTGAGGTCTCTATTTTTACGTTTTAAACAGTGTTTTCTAGCGTTTTCCCTTGCTTTTTGCTTTAGCAAGATCAACTCTGTAGCCACTTGCAAGTGAGGATACTTGTCGAATAACCAAAGTTTGACGTTTCTGTAGTATGAAATCGCTGTGTTACGAGCTAACTTACCTGTCTTATCTTCTTGAGTTCCGAGATAGTAGCCGAATCGATCCATCGTAGCGGCAAGCCGTTTGCCAGAAGGGTCCATGGTAATACTTGCCTGAACAAAATCTATGCTGACACCCTCATCGTGCTGTGCCCGTTTGGTGTTCGTAGGGACGAACGCAGTGAGGCTCATGGTGTCTCGTCTGTTGTGGGCTCTTGTTTTTTTTTAGTTAGTGACGACTGGCTGTCAACATTCCTCCTCTCCATGTGACCTAGGTTAGGATCACGCCTAATTGTCTGAATGACAAAAATATTCTTAACATAAAATTTTTGTCTCGATTGCAGTATTCTGGCATACATATTTTGTCCAAACTTCCGACAAATATTTTTCTGAAGTTGTAGGACGTTTTCAATTCGCTAAAATACACAGAGAAATAGATCTATTAGAGATCGGATTGGCTAATATTAGTTGTGGTCGATCACAACATATCCAATCATTGTCGAGCCTTTAGTCACCTACTATTGTCCCATCCTTCCACTTTTTGGACATTCCAAGTTGGAATTTCCAACTCATTCCACCAAATGCAGACCTTTAGGCTACCTATTCTACCATCTACTAGGTACTATGTAAACGCGTTAACCGTAACTACGATGAACGCGCTGCATCTAACACTTCGTGGTGTGCTTACTGACCCTCAAGACTTTTCCACGCAACAAAAGTGACGTGACCAAAATCCTTTCTAACCTGTAATAAGGGCTACCTTGTCGCTACATTATTAATCGCCTCCTGTCATATGCTATGTTTGCGTAGTCGACGTCGAAATAGCCATCCGCAACTTTAGTCGTAATTGTCTGTCGACGCGTAGCTTCCATAGTTCTGGTTGCCACCGGACATCTCCACGCCGCTGGAGCGGCCAGCGTGACTCGCGCTCCCATGCATTCCACGAGATCCGTGTACACCTCTGCCCATGTCTCCCGTCTCGTCGTCACCAATGCTAGCTCCAGTAACCCCACCTGAATAGCTCGAGTAGGTTCCACCATTATCGTCGTCGTTATCTCCGCTTCTGCTCGAGTCACCCGTCGCGCTTCTTTCGCCCGGTGGTCCACTGCGACTCGATTCCTTCGAATAGCGGGTGGGTCCTCCATGACGAGAAGCGTAGGATGTCAACGTATTTGGGTCATTTTGTTGACGATCATCCAAATCGTCCTTCGAGGCACCTGTGTCACGCGAATAACTCTTGGTCCCGACGTCAGGTTCGCCACTAGCATCCGACGAACGGTATGCCGAGCTCATGTTTGTCCCAGTCCAGTTGAGAACTTTTAGACTATTGCTTTAACTGTAAGATCTCGTTAGGTATCGAATGAAAAGAACTCAATTCAAAGATGTCCAATTCTACGCACGACACAACATCTAGTGCTTGTGGGTGTACTGGCCCATAGCCTCTTTAGCCTTGTCCAAGAAAGACTCGTCCTCTTTCTTCTTGTGCGAATCGCCGTGGCCTGTGTACTTCTCCACAGCATCTTTCGCCTTGTCAAGGAAAGATTCGTCTTCCTTCTTCTTGTGTGAATCTCCGTGGCCAGTGACCTTACTCACAGCATCCTTGGCCTTGTCCAAAATGGACTCGTCTTCGTGGTACTTCTTCTTGATAAACCCGTGGTCCTCCGCGTAGTCCCTGGCGGCATGCTTCATGTACATCTTCTCGGCCTCGTGCTTCATGTGGTGCAGCTTGGACTCGTCCTTGTGCGAGTCTCCGTGGCCCGTGTACTTCTCCGCCGCCTCTTTCGCCTTGTTCAGCATCGAGTCCATCGATGAGGAAGTTCTGTAGTCCAAAGTGCTTGTTGCTCGGCAAGATCGAAAGTGAGATGAAAGTATCCGCTACCATTAAACAAGACACCCATACCGAGCGAGCGCTGCGTATCTGACAGCCCCTCGGTACGAGAAATCAGCCACGTGCCGATCTCAGTTCGGCTGGATCTTCCGAAGGTTCACGCCACCTGAATATTGCCACTATATCCATGCAAATAATCAACAGCTATACCACCTCGGTATAGTTTGAAGGTTACCTGCTGCTGGCAAGATTCGGATGGAGTTAAGACATGAAACAATATCCTGTTGGTTCAAAGTACATGTTTTGAATAGGCTGTTAACCCGTAACTGTCTTGTTCTAGTGTTTCTTGGAGAGAAATCCCTTGGCCTTGCCGAACAGATCGTCCATCTGATTGTCTTTCTTGTGTTCGGTGTGCTGGGCCTTGGGCTGTCCCTGCTTGGCAAGGAAGTCTTCAGCGGCTTCCACGGCCTTGTCGACTGTCGACTTGTCCTTCGCGACGTACCCAGGTTGGTGTTTCTCGGTCTCTCGCTTGGCCACACGCTTCTGCGCGAACTCGGAAGCCTTCTCTTTGGCGTGGTACTTCTCAGCGGCGTCCATGGCCTTGTTGAAGATCGAGTCGCTCTTCTTGCTCTTGTCCTTGTGGCTGGAATCGCCGCCAGAGAATTTGTTGAGGAAGTCCATGCTGGTCAATCGATTAAGCGCTTCAAGGCGAAAGGAGAAATGAAAGCGGCGTAATATACAGCAATAGCGAGTGGCAAATCCAGATGGATGCGTCTGAGTGGATACTTCGACCGACTAAGCCACATCGGATGGCTACATGCATCCCATGCCTAGCAACTTCAAGAAACTCAATCACTGCTAACATGTAGTCTACATTGTAGAACAGCAAAGACTTCGTTCAAAGGTTGTTACGTGGACAGAGTATTGCCGTAACACACTTACTGCATCGGCTCGCCTCGGTAGCGGAAGTTGTTGGGGTTGAGCTGCAGCCTTCGCGCGGTTGTCCAAAGCCCACTTGGGCATGGCACTAGTCGCTCTGGTGCTGCCCTGTTTGCTCGACGTGTGGCTTGCTGACTTACCCGGCCTTTGCCGCTTGAATGTTGTCGCCCACCACTTGCGGCCTTGACACCTTCGCCAATCGAGCGCTGGAGCCCCCCTTCGATCCCGAGCCTCCGCTTTTAGGCCCAGCGGCGGCGGCCGCCTTTGCCCATTATCTTGTTCTTGTTCTGATCCTCGGCTTAACTGAGG